TGCAGGTGGAGCCTGGATGCCCCTCGCCTCAGCTGCGCTGCACATCCTTTGCTTTCTACCCTAGGCTCTCCAATGCTGCTGCTTGGATTCCTCTGGAGCTCACTCAATGCAGCTGGAACATGTGCACACCTGGAAGAGTGAGGGAGTCCGTAGGCAACCCCAGAGCAGTGAGGAACGGGTGCTAGTGGACACATGCTCCCTCAATCTGTGCATCAGTGGACGATTCTGAGGTGCATCTATGCTCTTCCTCAGTGCTCCTACAGCCATGATAACTCAACAGTGCACCTTGGCAAGGGATTCCCCCTTTCCTGTTTCTCTCTTCCAGAATCCCCATTCCTGATCCCTGACATCACTTCCCAAAATAAACTGCCCATAAGTTCTTTTCCCATGTTACAGATTCTGCTTTTGGAGGGAACTTGAATTAAGAGAATTAGTACCACAGCGGCTCTAGAAAAAGAGTAGGGTAGGATTCTAAAATAGATCACACACCCTGCAGACCCCATTGTAAGAACCTTACTGCTGGTGGTGAGTGAGCTGGTGATATGCCTTGGCCTGTGACAGTTATAATGACTCACCTGGAGAGGATTAGGACGTGGTACAGGTGAGGGTGAAGCATGGAAATATATGGTGGTGGGGGGACTTTAATTACACCGAGGTGATAGTAATTAGGACTGTGGGATTGTCTGAGTTTTGCTAATGGCTTTAAAAGCCCCCCAAAAAGAAAAAAAAAATATTGACAGGCTCAAATTAGCCAACTATCAATTTAAGATATGGCACAAGAGTCGGGCAGCCTCGTGGCTACATGAAGAGCCCTGGCCTCACCTGACTGGTGTGGCTCAGTGGTTGAGCATCCACCCCTGCACCAAGAGGTCACCGGTTTGATTCCTGGTCAGGACACATGCCCAGGTTGTGGACCCAATCCCCAGTGGGGGGCATGCAGGAGGCAACCAATCGATGTTCTCTCTCATCGGTGTTTCTCTATCTCCCTCTCCCTTCCTCTCTCTCAAAAATCAATAAAGAAAAAGTATTTAAAAAAAGAAAGAGCCTTGGTCTCCTGCAGGCACGGGGCACTTATGAAAGTTGAGCCCAGGACTACTCACATCGCTCACTAATGTTGATTTTAGTTCTGTCTTCGGCTGAGTTTAAACTCCTGTTTAACCGGTCAATGGGTGTTTTATGTTAATTAAAATAGTAAATTATTATGTTTTTCATTTTTAGAAGGTTTTTTTCCTTTGAGGAGGGGCTCTCAAATTACTTAACCACACTTTTTTTTTACCTCCAAAATTTATTCTTTCTACTACGTTTTCATCAATACCTTTGGAAAGACACTCCATTGTGTAGTATTTGGGCCCCCTAAACTTTACAGATAAATGAGGCTGTGAATCATATCATCCTATAGCACCTGTACTTGGCTACACGCCCACACTTCCTCCAGGGGATCTCTGATTGGTCAGCTTGGAGGGATTTGATGCTTGTCACAGTGGAAACAGTCCTTAGTTTTCCATCTCTATCCTACAGTGGAACTAATTCCCGAACGTTTCCTGAGCTCGGCTTTGGTAGAAGAGCAACAGTAAAGTGCGCCCGGCCCAGAGGAGACAGAACCAGTAGAGCTTGTCCTGAGAGAAGCGGTTGGAACTGTGGGGCTGGGGATGATGTGACTTCACTTTCATCACAATTTTGACTATGACCAGCCCGAAATCAAAACTTTTCAAGGCAATTGCCAGTTCAGGAAAGTCTCAGAATTTCCTTAGCACATATTAGACACTCTCTCGGTCAACCAAAGCCCTGGAAAATCCTTTAGGACATCCATAGCTTCGTTCAGCCTCCTAAGGCAGACAAAGCAGCAATTTTTTTTTTTTAAGAATTAAAAATCGCCCTGGCCGGTTTGGTTCAGCGGTTAGAGCGTCGGCCTGCGGTCCAGAGAGACCTGAGTTCAGTTCCCGCTAAGGGCATGTACCTCGGTTGCAGTTTGTCCCCGGCCCTAGTTGGTTGTGCGGGTGGCAACCACTCGATGTGTCCCTTTCACGTCGATGTTTCTCTCTCTCTCTCTCTCTCTCTCTCTCTCTCTCTCTCTCTCTTCCTTTCTCTCCCTCCCACTCTATCTGAACAAAAAATGGAAAAAAACAATTAAAAATCATTATTGCTTCAATACTTCCAACCCAAGAACTATAACTGATATAAGAATACATTCATGAAATATTGTTAAACTAGGTGGAATAGAGTCACAAACAGTATGAACAAAATGTATTCATAAGCAGAATAAATGAAATAATGAGGTAAGAGTTTATCTCTGAGGATAGATTATAAGAGTGCAAATGCCAAATGTACCACTTCCCACTATGTGACCACCCCTTCCCTCACCCCTTCACTCTGGCCCTCACCACACTTGTCTGTGTCAGTGAGGTATGCATATATATTCTTTGGCTAATCCCTTCACCTTCTTTCATCCAGTCCCTTCCTCCTCCCTCCCTTTTGACAGCTGTCAGTCTGTTCCATGTATGCCTCTGTTTCTATTTTGTTCGTCAGTTTATTTTGTTCATTAGCTTTCACATATAAGTGAGATCATATGCTATTTGTCTTTCTCTGACTGGCTTATTTCACTTAGCATAATCATCTCCAGGTCCATCTATGCTATTGCAAAAGGTTTCCTTCTTTGTATGGCTGCGTAGTATTATATTGTATAAATGTACCACCGTTTTTTTATCCACACATCTACTGACGGGCACTTGGGCTGTTTCCAGATCTGAGCTATTGTAAATAGTGCTGCTATAAACATAGGGGTGCATCTATTCTTTCTGATTGGTGTTTCAGAATTCTTAGGATACATTTCCAGAAGTGGGATTGCTGGGTCAAAAGGTGGTTCCATATTTAACTTTTTGAGGAATCTCCACACTATTTCCACAGCGGCTGCACCAGTCTGCATTCCCATCAACAGTGCATGAGGGTTTCCTTTTCTTCACATCCTCTCCAGCACTTGTTTGTTGATTTATTGATGGTAGAAAGCAGCATTGTTTACTAAGGATCTGATTTATTTTCCTATTGCTGAAGAGGATGTTGGCCAGTGGATATCTGTTTGTTCTGCCCTTGAAGCCATGAAAACAAGTGAACTGTCCTGACTGCCCGATACAACCTTGGGCCCCGGCAGAGGGAGGGCGGACTGGACTGGAACTGTGTGGGGACACTTGGGATTTGGAGGGCTCTCAGAGCTTTTGCTGAGTTGCAGCCACGCAGGAAGGTGGTCATCTTCTTAACTATACTTTATAGTCCCTCTTCCCCCCCCCCATTCCTTGCTTATGTTTGTTAAGCTTTTAAAAAATGACCTTAAACACATAAATGTAATTATTTTATATGTCTGATAATGCTAATAGCCAGTTTTCTAAAAATGCTTTCATCATCTGGGGTTTCCACTGGCTTCTTGTTCAGAGGGCTGTTTTTCCTTGTGTGTTTTGTGACCTTTTTGACACTGAATTGCCTATGTTCCCTCAAAAGTTACCTGTGGGAAGCTGTCAAAACCTGGATTGAACTTGCGCTTCTGCAGAGAATATCTGCTGTTCCCGTTGTCTAGAATTGATTTTCAGTTTTGTTACTTCGCAGTCAGAGAACGTCTTGTAAGATTTCTCTGTTTAGAAGTCAAGTTGTCTGCTGTGTTCAATATATAATTAACATCATATATTAAGGATGGTCTATGAACTGATTACAGAAAAGCACATTCTGTGATTGACCACAAACACCCACGTGCAAGATGTAGCCTGTTATGGTCACTTAAACTTCATCTCAGGCCTATGCTACCAGAAAGTCAGGAAATTCAGGCTCTGGCAGCATCAGAGTGAGGGAGGGTCAGGGGTACCCCAACACAGGGGAAGGAAAAGCGTGGATATCTCCACCTGCTGCCCAGGCCTGCAGGTCCCCTAAAGTCCTAAGACATCTGCTTGTGCCTGAGACAGAGGGTGGAGGAGTTTCTCCAGGTGGACAATCCTAGGACTCTGCTCAGCCCCAGCCCCAGGCCCAGCCTTTCTCCTCTGAAATCAGGGAACAGCGAGAAGGTTGTGTAGCTGGGAGCTGGAGCGAGACTGGGGGCATGGGAGTCAGACCTGGAGGACCCTCGTTATAAGTAGAGTGACCCCAAGCGCCCTTCCCCAGGCTCCCGGGGTTATGCACGGGTGCACTCTTTCATGATGGAAAGTGAGCAGGTTTGCATGGCGAGTTATGTGGTCACTCTCTAGGTCAGGAGGGCACAGTGGAAAGCCAGGGCGGGTTTATGTGGGGCAGTGAAATGTAACTTACATTTTATAAAGTTCCCCCGGGCTCTGCTCAGCGACAAGAGGAGGCTGCAAGCAGCCAGAGCGAAGGCGGGGCAAGAGGGACCCCAGGCACAAAAGGGGGCCAGGAATCACTTGAGACTGTCGAAGCTCCCCTACAGGTTCCCCCGTTCTGGGGTCCTCCCTGCCTGGAGAGGGGCCCCAGCGCCCAGCCAGTCAGGCCTGACCTTGAGCGAGGCCAGCCTGGCTTCCGGCCACGAGCGGGATCAGAAAGGGTGGGGAAAGCGTGCATTTCCCGGGTTGACGTGGAAGGATCAGGTTACCTTCGGGGCGGCGGACCGGGGGCTCATCTGGGGAGGCGAGCAAGGGGCCGGGACTGCCGGAGGGGCCCCGCTGCTCGTCCAGGGGAGTACAGGAGGAAGGCCGAGCCGGGCTGGCAGCGCGGGGGTCGGAGTCTGGGTTTGAGGGGCGGCCGTGGAGCCCCCGGGCTGGGGGCGGGCAGACACCGGGGAGGAGCGAGGGGCGGAGAGGCGTGCGGGAGACTCCGGTGCCCCGTCTCGGCGGAGGGGCGGGTGGACTCCGAGCGCAGCGCGCGGGTCCCGGCCGTGCGAGAGCGAAGACGCCCACCCAGTCCCGCGCCCGAGCCCGCCCCGCGGGGCCCCATCCCCCGCATCTCCTCCTTCCGCGCAGTCCCCTCCCCCCGCGCCTTTCTTCGCCGTCCCCCCGCCGCGCTGTCCCGCCATGGCCGGCCTGGGGCCGCGACCGGCCAAGAGCTACCGGGTGGTGCTGCTGGGCAGCGTGGCCGTGGGCAAGACGGCGCTGGCCACGCAGTTCGCCTGCGGCCGCTTCCCCGAGCAGTGCGAGCCGTCGGTGGAGGAGCTCTTCAGCAAGGTGATCGAGGTGAACGCGGCGCCCGCGCTGCTGGAGATCGTGGACACGGTGGGCGCCGAGCACCTGGTCACCCTCAAGGACCTCTACATCAAGAACAGCGACGGCTTCGTGGTGCTCTACAGCGTGTGCAGCGAGGCCTCGTTCGAGGCGGTGCGGCCGCTGCGGGAGCGCATGGGCCGGCTGCGGGGGCCCAGGGCCGTGCCGCTCGTGCTGGTGGGCACCAAGGCCGACCTGGACGCCGAGCGCCAGGTGCTGACGGCGCGGGGCCGCGCCCTGGCCCGCGAGTGGCGCTGCCCGTTCCTGGAGGTCACGGCCAAGAGCAAACTGATGGTGGACCAGGTGTTCACGCAGGTGGTGCGCGAGATGGAGGCCCTGGCGCCGCCCGAGGAAGAGGTCCGGGCGCTGCCCACCAATGCCCAGGATACGTGGCCGTCGGAAAGATTCATCGGCTGATCCACCACAGGGCGTTTTTCATGTTCACCGATCTTTGGGATTTCCGAAGCTCAGTATTCCTACTCTGCCTTTTCAAAGAGAGTTATCCAAACCGTATACAAGGGGTGACTTTTCCGAACTAACTCAAACCTGCGCTTCAAACTCCGTGGAGCTGCTTAAATCTGGCGAAAACGTTGCAACTGTTTTCCTCAGACGGTGCTTTAAGAAACCAAAAGTCGAATAGTTCGCCCAGTATGGAGAAAGTACTACCCTTTTCTTCAAGTCGAATTTGTGACAGAGGATTTTTTTAAAAATCCCACACCTTCAGATGTCATCATCGGACAAATCGAGGAACACGAACTAGAGTTTAGCTTTTGATTCAGTGAGGTTTGCATGTGTTCCCCTCTCATTTACAGTCTTGAATCGCAGCAGTGATATTTTCCTCCGTATCTCTAAATATAGTTATGACATACAAGGGATCGGTTTGAAAGGAACATTGTAACCCTGGGAGGGAAAAACAGCTGTCCTCACACAAAGAGCTCAGCCCTGCCTGCAGTTTTATAATCGACACGGAGCGCTTTCTGCATCTGTAAACTGAATGAAAGTAAAGTGACTTTAGAAATGGATATAGTTTTTACTATTTGTCTTGCAAACACTGAAAGCTACAATTCGGGAGGTTTCCACACACTGTCTCTTTGCTTTTCAGTTATTTTCCAGGAAACAGGTTAGTAACTGGAGGGAAAATGGCCCCTCGTGTTCCTGTGTGTTTCTGCAGAAGTGCTCTCAGAGGTCTGGTTTTCCTTGTTGTTTGGCTGCGTAGGACATTTTGTGTGTGAATCTCTGCATAATGTAACGGGGAGGCGGATCCCAAAATAGAAGCAAAACAGGTGGGAATCTTTCTGTCTAGTCTTCACATAAAGATAAAGAGATTTGCACTGGTTTAAAAATATTGTGTTATAATTTTTAAAATGTCTTTAATATGTGTTGTTTGTGCTTGCTTCACAAAGTAACAATTTTACCTTGCCACTGCAACACATTTTTCAAATTTGAAAAACATCCTTCCAGAAGAAATAAACAAGAACGCTCACAACTGTGCCTCTGATCTGAAACAGTCCTTTTTGTTAAAGGAAAGTTATTTATAAAGTGATGGTTATACATTGCTCTGGGAGTGTTACTTATTTTGTATGTGATGTTTCAATAGAGGAAGGATTTTATTCTGACATTGGGAAAAGATATATTTTAGAAGCCAGCAGTGCCTGACAGTTTGCCACAGGGCTGGGCTGGGACATCCCCTCTCTTTTCTCTTCCTCTCTCCCCAGGACATGGTGGGGGTGGTTAGAACCCAACTAACTCACTACCTTCTGGGGTCACTCCTGGCAGTGTCTCCTCACACCCCCTTCTGGGGCCATCATTTCTTTAAGGAGACATTTCAAACAAAGGGAGGGGGATGGGAGGCTGTGGGTTGGGAGCTAGAAGCACCTTTGGCCTCAGCTGTTTTGTCCAAAGCTGCCCCTTCCTCCTGCTGGAGCACAGACAGGTCCGGGACTGTTCCCAGACTGGGTGCTGGGCTGTGCAGAGAAAGCAGGCAGAGAGTGACCATCGTCTGTCCCCAGCATTGAGAACTGGGCCCCAAAAACTGCAAGCTGGATGATCCCTCCCCCAGCCCCTTGGCCCTGACACCCCACCCTACCTGCCCTGCTTTTCTGACTGGCCACCCGCCCATGCTGAGGCTTCCGGGAGGTCTTGCATCCCTCTGGATATCAGGCTTAATCCAGGAAAAACTTTACAAATAGCTGTTTCTCCCTTTAGATTCCTGAGACCACCTGAGTCCCTCCCACTCAGATCCAAATTTCAGGTTAGAGCCCAGGGCTGTTCCTGGCTGACTGGGCAACATGCCCAATGAACAGGCCCACATGCCCTGCACCTGCGACCTCAGAATATGTATGAAGCAGCCTTCTGAGTGTCTATGCTCACACACATGCATGCACACATACACACATTTACAAATATACATAAAACTAAAGACCTACACACTGCATTTTCTTTCTGTTCTGACAGTTCTGATTTCTGACGTATGTTACACACAGGTTGCCTGAGGTTCTTGGTGTCATGGGAGTCCCCCATAATCCTGAAGTGAACTTGCAAGCGGCAACCGTGAGCGCTTGTCAGGGGCCTGTCGTACCTGGAAGCCCTGTGCCCTGGTGCGGGGCCGTGACACTGTGGCAGGCTAACTTGTTAGCTAACAAGTGGTGTTGAGATCTCAAGCCATTCACCTTTGACACTGGATTGCAGGCTCTGTGCGTGCTGGCGTAACCAGGCAACGTGGGGCGGGGCTCCTAAGGGGTCCTGACGTTCAGGTCCTGCAAGCAGGGCCCTGCTTCTGATGCTCCACACTCAGGGTGCAGATGTCCCTCTTGCCGGGGTTTGTGTTATTCACATTGCTGGTGTCGCCGATAGTTCTTTTGGAGGGTTTTAAGTGACATTTAATTCCCTCTCTGAGATGCCTGCATGCTTTGCCAGCTTTCAAGATTGCTGCTCTGCCTTTCCTCATAGTTCTGGAGGTGGCACCCAGTCTCTGCAGTGGGCAGCCTCCCAGAGCCCACTGACCCTCCTCGTGGCATCCCCGTCCCTCAGGTATGGGCAGGACCTGGTCACTCTCTTCTAAGGAATATAATGTAGCAAAGGGGAAGGCAGGTCATGTCCAAGATGATCTCCCAAAGGCCCTGCTTCCTGTGTTGCCTGCCCTCTCGGTCTCTCGCCCAGAGCCCTGGTTCAGGGAAACTCAAGCTGCCAGGTGTGCGGTCAGGGCTGCTCTGTCTGCGGCCCCTCTCCTCCTTAGAGACCTCTGTGTCCTTCCTGTCTCCACAGGTCTTCCCTCTGCGTGTCTTTGTTCCAATCTCTTCTTAGAAATACACCAAGCAGCCCTGGCTGGTTGCTCAGTGGTTAGAGCATCAGCCTGAGCACCAAAGGGTCATGGGTTTGATTCCTGGTCAAGGGCAGGTACCTGGGTTGCACGTTCGATTCCAGGTCCCATTTGGGGTCATGCTCGAGGCAACTGCTTGATGTGTCTCTCTCACTTTGATGTTTCTGTCTCTCCCTCCCTCTCCTCCCCCCTCCCTTCCACGGAGAAAATATCTTCTGGTGAGGATAAAAAGAAATACACCAATCATTGGCTTAACGTCCATATTTAAACTTAATTATCTCTCTAAAGCCCCTATCTCCTACCGACATGGTGTCAGGTGAAAGTCACAAAAGAGAACGTAATGTATGATTCTGTTGATATGAAGTTCAAAAACAAAGTTAATTTATGATAACAACTCAACCACTGAGCCAGACCGGCAGGCGGTTTTATTTTAAAATGTCATTTAGGCCCTGGCTGGTTTGGCTCAGCGGTTGGAGCATCAGCCTGAGGACCAAAGAGCTGAGGGTTCGATTCCTGGCCCTGGTCAGGATTGTGCAGGAGGGAACCGGCGAAGTGTCTCTCTCACATCAGTGTTTCTCTCTCTCTCCCTCTCTCCCCTTCTCACTCTACCTGAAGATAAAAATAAATACATAAAATAAATTAAAAATGTCAGTTAGCCCTGGATGGTGTGGCTCAGTTGGTTGAGTGTCCTCCTGTGCACCAAAAGGTTGCCAGTTTGATACCCAGGTTGTGGGTTCGATCTTCAGTCAGGGTGCATGCAGGAGGCAATCAATTGATGTTTCTCTCTCTCCCTCTCTCTCTAAAAAATCAATAAAAACATATTTTAAAAAATAATAAATAAAATGACAATGTTAGAATTCTGACAATATCCCAGAAATTAATCCTTGGCAACAATTTAAACTTGCATTTTTAAAAGTTGCATGTTCACATAAAAAAGTGTGAGACAGTTCCCAGATTTCAGGACTGTTTCAGTGAGTACTTCAGCAAGAAGTGCTATTCTCTGCTCCACGCTTGCCCCAGGGCAGCTTTTCATGTCCTTGAGTGTTGAGGAGCTGTCTGGACTCTTCTGCAGTGACACCTGGGTCATAAATCACTAACTGAAGGTGCAGGGAAGGGGGAAGGGACATGTCCAGGACAGGTACATCCCTCTTGCCACCACTAGGGGGCGGAACCAGCCCGGGTGAAGAGAAGCTGCTGGTCTGTGGGAGCTTCCAGATCAGGGCATCCAGAAATCCAGAAGGGTCTTCAGTCCCCCAGAGAGCCTCCTGCAAAGCCCAGGTGGCCTGTGTCCCAGGAACCTGCTCTCCGAAAGCTCACCGGGGGGTTCCCCCACCCAGAGTTTCCTCTGCGGCCATGGTTTCTGTTGCCCCACAGTGTCTACTTACTCTGTGGGGCAGAGTGTCCCACAGCCCTGCACAGTTTCTTTCCGAGGATTGGGGGGGAGACTGCTGGCCTTTGGAGGACCCTGGGTTGCCATTAGCACCTGGGCACACAGGGAAGGCTGGGCAGTCTGGACCCTGTGCCCTGATCCCCAGGACCAGGGATCTGAGGGGTGAGTTAACACGACAAGGTGGTGTCAAACATATGTTGTCAAGACAGCTTCTTTTTTTTTTTTTCATCTTCACCTGAGGACATTTTTCTATTTTTGTTCAGATAGAGTGGGAGGGAGAGAGAGAGAGGGAGAAACAGCGACGTGAAAGGGACACATTAAGTGGCTGCCTCCCGCACAATCCCAACCCCCAACTGGGGCCAGGGCCGGGGACAAACTGCAACCGAGGTACGTGCCCTTAGTGGGAACTGAACCTGGGTCTCTCTGGACCGCGGGCCAATGCTCTAACCACTGAGTCAAACCGGCCAGGGGAGGACAGCTTCTTTTTTTAAAAATATTTTTTTTAATTGATTTTAGAGAGAGGAAGGGAGAGAGAGGGACAGAAACATCGATGAGAGAGAACATCGATTGGCCGCCTCCTGCATGTCCCCCACTGGGGATCGGGCCCACAGCCTGGGCATGTGTCCTGACATGGACTCGAACTGGCAACCTCTTGGTGCCTGGGTCGACGCTCAACCCCTGAGCCACACCGGCTGGGCAGGAGAGCTTCTTTTTAGAATGAATCTAGAAGCTGTCAAGGCAGCTCACCCTTGCTAAAGGATTCCGAGCGATCCTTGGAGTGCTCTGGAAAAATAAGAGTTTCCCTTCCTTTCGTTCTTCCAAATCCCACCTCTCTATAAAATGGTACAGACTGCGATGCTGAAGGGAGTCTGGGAGCAGAGGGCTTGGGGGAACTGAGGCAGAGCCCCTTGTGCTAAAGTGGGACTCTGCCCCTCAGTGGGCTGGGAGGACCAAGGACACACAGAGGGCCCAGCCTCTTTTCCCAGGATGAAGGTCGTGGCAACAAGAGGGCATGGGAGGGGGGTTGACCAAGCTGGTCTTGGCAGACAGCTCCTGCCCTAAGCTCCAGGCTTTGCCCACCCCTGAGAAAGAGCTGCCTTCGGGGGTCCAGCAGCCTCTTTGCTGACCAAGCCCCACCCAGCTCCCCTTTTACCCTGTGACCCCAATGACAGCTTCCAGGGCAAACACCCCATGGGTACTTGGCTGCCCTGGCATGGTCTCCTCCTCTGGGTGGCTCTGCCCCAAACCAAGACAAGCTGCTCTTAACTGGGCGGAGCCAGGCAGTGAGAGTGATGAGATTGTACTGCCTGTCCTGGGGGTCCATAACTGACACCCCCACCCCTCCTGGCTGTGGTCTTCCAAGCCCCAGGCCGGGTCTGGCCAAAGCGTGAGGCTGGCCCTGGCCTTGCAGGAAGGGAAGAGGCCGCCCTGCCCTCTCTCTCCCCCAGCCTAAACCCAGGCCTCCCAGCCCCTCCGTCCTCCACCTGCGCCGAACTCTTGCGGAATAACCTGCCGAAGGATTGACCAGTCCTGTGGGGAGAAGTCCCACCCACACCTCGAGGGGCTGCTTCCTCCCTCCTGCCGCATCACACAGTGTGCCAGTGTGACAAGTACCATTTTTAAGTAAAATCCTAGGCATCCTTTCCTCTATTATGTAGACTTTTTATATTAAAATAAAAAATATATGTTTTAAATATGTTCTTCCATTGATTTTTAAAGAGAGTGGAAGGGGTGGGTAAAGAGAGA